GTAATTAACCATTAAATTTATCAATATAATAATTTTTGAGTTTCACTTCAGTAACATTTAAAAAAAATAAAATACTTTCAATGTTCTGGCTTGGCATAAAATTGATGGATTTCTTTTATTATTATTTTTGATAGTTACAGTTAATCTTCTAATAATGTGTGTAACCATTAAGTGGTTAATAATAATAATAATAATAATAATAATAATTTGTATTTAATGTTGAAAAAAATTCTTTACAAAAGAATTGAAAATATCTAATTACATTTTTAATTTATTTTTTTATAGTTTGAAACTATTCAGAAAATAACTGGTCAGTCATCATTAACTCCTTCCCCAAGTCATATATTTAAATGACAATTGAGGATGTAATTCCATTCCAGTTATTTCTTAAAGATGATTTCTGTTTAAAAGATATGTCTGCAGCCTCAGTTAAATTATTGCATTGGGTGTTGTTATCTGACTCAGTCATTTTGCAGTCGATGCCAAAGCAAGAGGTATTTGTTGTTATTATTATTTAAATTTTCCAGAATGTTTTTTTTAAATTACCTTATTACTTCAAATTTAAGCTGCACTTTTTATTCCAATACAGTCGACCCCCCTATAACACGGGTTCCTATAGTTCAGATTCCTATATCATGGCGAAAACATTGTGACAGTATTCGTACAAACATGCTAAAAAACTCCTATAATTTGGTAAAACGTCATTGCCGGCTTGTGTCGCAACAGGATTGCACAAACCGTTGAGTTTAAACGAGCAGCGGACCTACCAAAAACCATTTATTATTTAACATCCATAAAAATTATATTTATATTAATGATGTCTCTAAACTTCAGCAAATTTTTCGCAAAAAAAATAATTTATCAGGAAGCACGCGAGCGCCATTCAATGACAGTGGTCACACTCGGTAAGTAATCCTACAATTTTTTTGTTTATAGCATAGTTTATATGGATTATTCCCAAAAAATTATACGTATTTTGGAAATGTTGAGTCGAATTAGTCTAGAATCGATTAATTTTATGGAAGAAAACCTTTCAAACAGCCATAGTCCATAAACTACATATGTGCCGGGCTGTGGTTGGCTGGACTCCTAGAAGCTGAATTCATAAAAACAGGAATGTATCTACCGTGTTATAGGGGGATCGACTGTGTTTAAGACAAAATTAGGTTTGCGGCTTAAATTCAAAGCAAATATTACCAATCAATCAGTCTTTATTTTCAAAAAAGGAAATTATCCCTGTTGCAGGGGGTTGTACATAATTTAGAAGTTTAAAATATCAGAACAGTTAACAGGTTAGCAAATTTATACAATTATTATGCAAAAAGTTTCGTGTCAACCTGTTATTGACATAAACAAAAAAACAGTTTTAGTAAAAGTAGCTATGCAGAGATACTTACAATATTAGTACACTTTGAATTTGTTATCTTAGATTTTCAGTGTTTTTACAATCTTGATGAAGTACAGTAACAAGAAATTATACAGTAAAAGAGAAAAACAAATTAAAATTTAAGTACTGGATACAAAAAGTCACAAATTACTGTAATGCTGTCTATAACTGCCAATGGAAACAAATTGTCACCTTAAAATAACATAACAGAAAAACTATCCAAGGAGAATTTTCCTAAGGGCATTATAATTTGAATACAAAAGAATGCATGGATGACAACAGAATTGATGAAAGATTGGTTAGAAAATGTTTGGGAGAAGAGACCTGGTGCTCTTTTAAAATACAAAGCATGCTAGTAATGGATGTATTTCAGGGACATTTAACTAGTGACATTAAACTTAAAGTAAAAACAAAAAACTGTGATCTGGTAATATTATCAGCAGGTATGATTAGTCAACTTGATTTGTCTGTTATCAAACCCATTAAAGATAGAATGAGAACCCATTATGAAGCATGATTAATTAAATTGAGAAGATCATTCTTTGACACCAACTGGTAAAATAAAACAAGCATCATCTTCTACAATAGTTCAGTGGGTTTTGCAGTCTTGAAAAGATATCCCTAAAGAAATTATCAAAAAATCTTTTTTAAAATGTTGCATTACTAATGATTTAAATGGCACTGAAGATGATGTGCTCTGGAATAGTGAAGATGAGAATTCAAATTCTGAAAGTGAAAATATTGAAAGTATATCTGAAGATTTTCATTAAATTAGGTAGCTTATTATATTTATATTAGTACCTATTTAAGTAAATAAAATTGTTACTTATTTTTTCCAATTTTAAACTCCTACTAATGCTCATATTTGAAGTAATATATTATATTACAGTAACATTTCAGAATTTGAAGTTCAAAAAGATTGGAAATTTTTGCTTATACAAATAGCTATTATTCAGATGGTTGTAATGGTTGAATATTTCAGTTTGCCATTTAATTACTCTCCTTCTTGATCTATAATCTGAGGCACAACTATTATTTTTTACATAAAAGATATGTTGTTTTGTATATAAATCTGTGGGCTAATCAGTGTCAAAATCTTACTAGGATTATATTATAGGAATTTACAGTGTTTTCATTTCAGTTGTAATTTTTAATGGCTGTAATCCACATATGTTTGTTCTTGTTTAAGTGACTGGTTAATTCTGATATGATAGTTCTGATTGCTGCCATATGATTAATGTAATATTCTACATCTGTACATCTGTAGACTTATGTGAACTGCTTTTTTTATTGATGAAACGTGTTTCTGTGGTAGTCATATTCAAATCAATTTTCCTTAGAACAAGCTTTAAATTTTAATGATTATGTAATTAACCATTAAATTTATCAATATAATAATTTTTGAGTTTCACTTCAGTAACATTTAAAAAAAATAAAATACTTTCAATGTTCTGGCTTGGCATAAAATTGATGGATTTCTGTTATTATTATTTTTGATAGTTACAGTTAATCTTCTAATAATGTGTGTAACCATTAAGTGGTTAATAATAATAATAATAATAATAATAATAATTTGTATTTAATGTTGAAAAAAATTCTTTACAAAAGAATTGAAAATATCTAATTACATTTTTAATTTATTTTTTTATAGTTTGAAACTATTCAGAAAATAACTGGTCAGTCATCATTAACTCCTTCCCCAAGTCATATATTTAAAGTTAATTGCAAGCTTGGAGCTCAACAGTTTCAGCAAAACTGTATAGGAAAAAAGACATTTTTTGCATTTCATGGTTCTAGCTTACAAAATTTTCATTCTATTTTGAATAATGGTTTAATTGCTCATTTGAATAAAGTGAGTTAATTTTGATGTTTTAAGATTTATTATTTTTGCTACTTAGAAATTGAAATTCTTGCAGGAAATCTACTGTTATGTTTATTAATTTACAAGAACATGAAATAGAACTTTTATTTTTATATAAAATTTATTTTTCATTATGTTAATGAATTAAGCAAATATCACTTAATAAAATGTAAACTGTTATTTCTTCTTAAGTATGTTTTATTTAATTTATTCCTATAAGATAAAACCAGATGATCTGAATTATCAGGCTATAATAAGACTAAGTTAATTAAGTTATTATTATTATTATTTTATTATAGCCAATAATTCAGCAGATTGTCTAGTTTTTATTAAAGTAATCAGGTTAGTGGAGGAATTTATATATATAAATAGTATAAAATACTGCCACTTAAAACTGGTTATATTTGAATTAATAACACTGAAACCTATAATCCAGTTGCTTTTTTATAAAAAGTGCAAATGTTTAAATATAACAATATATATAAGACCACCCACAATAACACTGCTATTAATTTTCGTGATGTTAACTCCTTTCCCACAGCATGGAGGTCTTTTTTTTTTTTTAACTATAAATTTTACTATCCTTCCCTTCTCTTGTCTTATGTCAGCTCCCCTCTGCACTTGTGTTCAACAATCCTATTGTTTCAGCAGTTGGGATCAGTTTGCCTGATGATGCCCGTTCAACATGGGCAAAAACATTTGCACTTTTTTATAAAAAACAGCTGAATTATAGGTTTTAGTGTTAATATAAATAATATATATAAGATGTAAACAATTGTTTTTCAATAAAATATGTATGTTGTTTTGTGTAAAATTTAATATTTTTATTGGACAGAATGGATTATATGGAAAGGGAACTTATTTATCCAGTGAACTTAGTGTTTCTCTCATTTACAGTCCAATGGGTAATAGTTGGAGACATAGTATATTTGGATCACAGTTAAGTTGTGTAGCACTTTGTGAAATAATTGATCATCCAGATGTTAAATGCAAGGGTAAAGGTTGGTAAATATATATATTTACATTAAAAATTGTAATTTATTATTGAATAATACTAAATAAGTAATTTTAATAGAAAAAAATAAGTACTGGGTGATTCAAAAGTCACAGAAATTTTTAAAAATTAATAACTCACAAACTATTTACAGTAAGATGATGCAGTTTTCACAGAAATGCTTAGAAAGAAGTGGGATTTTTTTAGGTTTAATAAAAATTTTAGTTTATATGTTATATAAACTATATATTTAGTTTTTCACAAATTTATTTTTTCATTTAATAAAAGATTTATATTAAGTATTAATGTTTAGTATTTAAATCATTAATATGATTGTTATTTTATAGACAAGTTTTGGTGAGTTAGAGGAAATCCTTGTTAGTTTGAAAAATGGTTTAAAAAATCATATTATTTCTCACAAACTTTTACTGTTTCTTTAAAGTATAATTATTGGCTTTCAAAATATATCACTTTAAATTGCTTTGTTACAGATTGATCTACTAAGAATTATTTTCTTTGTTGTTTGAGAAATTTTTTAAACCTCTGCAATTATTTCTGCAATAATATGATGGAACAATTCTATACAAAAATACATAAATAAAACAAAATTTGTTTTATTAAAAATGGATCAAAAGAAAAGCAATGAAATTTGTTGACCCCCAAAACAAAAACAAATGTCCAATGTACAGTATAGTCATCAAGTAACAAAAGCACATGTAGTTTTTGAACCCAAAGTTATTTGATGTTTTCTTAAGGTAACTTGAGCATCACTTGGTACATCAGCTAGTAATAAAAAATGTTAAAAAATTTAAATAAAGAATGAATTTATTTTACAATTATAATAAAATTTTTGCAATTACTTTTAATTTTAGGAACATATGGAAATTGTCAACAATCTTCACCAGATAGTCTAGCAGGTGACATTCCTGATAAATATTATCTTGTACAGAATAATGACCTGGTACGCATACGTTATCTTCTTGTATATAGTAACAGTTCTAGGAGTGAAAACAGGCAAGACTTTTTTCATTTAAATATCATTTTTTTAGTAAATATATAGTTAATTTAAATTCATATTGTTTTGTTTATATTATTATTTAGGATTAGAGTTCCTAAATGGTGGTGGAAGTATCGTTTCACTATTCTGATGCTAAGTTATGTTGTTATTTTAATAGGAATTAGTCTGTCATCATCCAGAGCATTGCAGCAATTTTTATGGAAACATTTTTAATAGCTTATAAATATAATATGCAGTCTTCCAATTGTGCCTCTTGAATATATTTTTATTATTGAATTATATATAAATAATTTTTATATAGATTTAAAAAAATAAGAAAAATGTGTAAGAATATTTAATTATTTTTGCTGCAATTTTTACAAAAATTGCTTTGCCGATTATATAAATGTTTGTTAAAAATTAGCTATTAAAAGTCACAATAAAAATCAGTATTACATTTTTATAATTTTTTTTTTTATATAAAATTAAGGAATTACAGTAGAGCGTCAATTATCCGAAAGAATTCCAGTTGGCAAATTTAAATTTTCGCCAGTGCTGTGACGCTGCAATCTTTGGCTATGTCTTGGGCTACTCAAATATTTTATGTTTTTGATACTAAATTAACTTCTGAAGTATAATTTTTTATTGTTTTTATATTTTTCAATATATTTATTTTGTTTGTACAAAATAAAAAAATAATTTTTAACGATACAATAGTCTTTGTTAGGCTTAACATCGACGAAAATTCAACAC